CGTAGTAGGAAAATTGTTAAATTAATCAAGGATATTTTGACCTCGATTATCTAAATTAGCATCATTAACATCTTATGACTATTTAATAAATCATAATTTTAAGTTCTTATGTGACCACTTTTACTTCTGCATTATTTATTTCTTTGTCAATCCCCTAGAGTGGGTGTGAGCCATACATAGAGTCTATCATGATCATCATCACTTTCTCGCTAGGCGGTACGACCAGGGACAGTCCCGTTTCTTTATTTGTACAAATTATGAGAATAGTTACATATTCTATACCCAATTATATCTCCATTACCGGGTTCCCTTTTTAGAGGCGGTTGAAATGCGCCTTATTTTTAAAATCACTCTTACCAGCCCTCAAGCCCCAAGCGGGGGTCAGTCGAAGCAAAGTCAGCCTATCTGCGCGACTCCGACCACTTGTAAGCACGCCATGAACAAGCGCACATGTACTTTGATGGTGCTCTCTTACCTCTACTTTCTTCCTTCTCTTTAACCTGTTCCCCCTTTTCCCAGAGAAAAGTAGCAAACCAGACGCCCGTCTAATTGACCTCCTTGCCTTTCATTTTTTCCCCAGCTCCCCCTCCTCCGAATTCATTCGAACACACTGGCAGAGCTTTTAGAACGCTTCTCCCCCGAATGCCCTTCACTGAACGGCATTTTCTTTCTGACCCGCATCGGGATAAGCTAGAACGAAGTGTGTGTGAAAATGCAGAATGTTCTTTCGGCAACTGCACGTTTCCTCGTGGTTACTTTTAAACAGCAATTATTACGGCAAAGGGAGCGCAGCCGTAATTTTAAACCTTGCGGGGCTCATCTTCCACTTTTATTGTACAATATGTTTCGCAGATAGCGACCTGCACGATGAAATGAAACAGAAGCCACAGGTTTGCGTATATTGCTAAAACACGTTGGTGGGCTAGTTGGTTTGCATTCATGAAAGGTGCGCAAGCCCAACAGAAAAGAACGTAGAAGAAAATCGACCAGAAAACGGAGCTGCTTTCGATTGATATTTTCTTTTACCACGAACCGATGAATATATACCAAGCGAGCGGAAACAAAAAAAAAGCACATTCAGTGGGATTATCAATGAACCGAGCACGTGAACGGAGTAGTATTACTAGAAAACACCAACATTTAGTAAAAAATTACGTGGTAGCGTTGGTGGAAATTGGCGTTACAAAGCGAACACGAGAAGCTTTTATCAAACACGTAAAGGCCGATTACTCCCTCCGCTGCTTTAACCCAACCTTTACTTTTATTATTACTGTTATCAGCAGTTTTGCGCCTCAAAATCACAGTATGGTTACGAAATACGCGATAATAAAGGTCTTCGGAAATTTGGATCACGTGCGCTTGCATCACGCAGCACAGGGGTCTCAACCAACTTTCACTTTTAGTACTCAAGTTCATGTATGTTTCTGGTGAAAGGGACCTTGAAGAAACGCCTTCTTGAATTTCTTCGCAGTAAACATCGATATTCTAGCCAAATTTGATTAGAGCGGACGTCACTGACAACATGTATCAGCTCGCAATGGTTGAGAACATTCTCGGATCTCGGCTCAAAAGACGGCCCGACACTTCGTTAAGCTCTCTTGCCGGAGACATGCATGACAAGGTCTCGACGGGAGTCTCATTCGGTTCCTGTCTGAATAACGAGTGCCTGGGAATCCAATTTCGCAAAGTCGGCTCGCCTTTCCCGAAAGAGAAAGCTAGCTTCCGGGTCCTGAAATAGAGAATGGCTTTCGGTGTTACCTATTCGTACTTGAAAGCTTCAAGACGTCGCTAAATCATGAGCGCTGCACAATAGCCGACTCACTACCACGTATACGTGAGACAGTCGAAATTAAAAGAGACCGTCTTGCTTTATCTCGTAGTGCCACAATCCTTTGAAAAGTTCGAGTAACACAAGATAACGTCATTGTTGGTGTTGAATGGATGTATACGCAGAGGGAAACAGCGTAGTATTCGCAGCTGTCTTAATTCATGAGAAGATGACTAAATTCTAGTAGAGCCAACATGAGGCTGCACATAAGGCAAAAAAAAACGGAAGCAGTTTGAACGGGCCTTTACGAAGGTATAAAAGTTGGGCGTGCGTATGTGCGTGCAAGCATGGCACGCGTGTGCGTGTGCGCGCATGCAGGAACACCTGCCTAGAGCTGTCAGACCTGCACACAGTGTGTTGGAACTGCACAACCCACCCCTGTTCTGGAAAGGTGTCTGTATAGAGCCACAGGTTTACCTATTATTACATCAACTCCGGAGTCGATCAATGCTCATTGAAAGTCAGAAGACTACTTTACTCTAGCTTAGGTCACCTACGTATTTAACTTTGCCCAAAATTGGTCAATTTTTTTTCTGTTGATAGATGCTGATTTTTTGCCGGTCCATGTGAGCTCTTTAACCCCTGCAGCGTGTGTTTGACTTGTGGATGGTCTATAGCGCTCAACAAGTTTTTAATCTGTCTGCCAGGCAACTTTCCACATTCCGCGTCTATAAGGCGGGACAATATGCGGATATGATATCATGGGCACATTTATATCTCACATGGTAAAATAGTGGATCTCAAGAACGTTTGTCTTGCATCAAACAACATTTTCTCTAGAGAACCGAAAGAGCGATAACGCTTCGTTTACCAACGTTGAAGCCCGGGAGCAAAAAAAAAAATTGAGCCATCCCTCCACCATGTCTATTGGACATTTCTCAATATTCACGCACACCCTATATTGCTCTCAGACAAAAAAAAACAACAAAAACACGCATTTTAGGTATATGATCAAAGCATTTATTTTTCTGCTAAGCGTTGTTAGAAACAAAACTCCATTCTCAACTCTTACGTGCTCCTTTGTTTTACTTTTTACTTCCTAATAATCTGCTCAAGAATTCGCCGTGCTGGTAACTTGTTGTCGCATTATTAAAATTTCTTTTTCAGGCTATGCGGCTCGATAAATATTCCCGTGAGAAATGTGCACGAAATTTGTTATCTTTCACTCTGTCAACTATGTTGAAACCGTGTTTATAAGAGAATTATGAAAGATCGCCATTCATGACATCTACGCATATTTTGAGTTGCGATAAAGTTGTGCTGTTACCTACAGACTTATCTAGCGAATTTCCTTTTTTCGGTGGGCGTTGCTTCTTGTCAGTTATGCCTCGCAAAATGTCCGTTTTGCTACTGATTCTTTCAAGAATGTTTACACGCGCGTACTAGACATTCGTCAGGGCTTCGATGACCTTGTTTGTCTGGTCATAGTTCAGGTTCACTTCAATGTCGCTGCAGCATGTCAAAAGATGAGCCACAGAAAGCATAACAATCAGCCGCCAATGCAGCCACTACCTGGCAAAGAAGCTAACTGCTGTATGAAAACGGAAGGTCTCACGCAAACTATTCCGCAGCCGATGACCATGCTGCGCGCTTGATATCGGACAACCTCAACACTCATGCAGTACACATACAGTCCTAGACACTTGATTTAGGCGTGTAGCGTGCCCTTAGACACAGTTGAAAGGCTATAAACATTCACTCACCTGAAAGGACATAAGAGCGATGGTTACCGCTTTTCACAAAATCTGCAAATCCCAACGACGCATCGACCGCAAGGCTTTTCGCAACTGAATTACGTCCGGTGAGCGCCGAATCAGGAACTGCGGAAGTCAGACGTCGACACAAGCGCCATAGGTAGCGATCGTAGTTGATAACTGCGTCTATTCCTCGTCATTGACCGCGTGCAGATCCCCTGGCCGTGGTACGAAATGCGCAATCCCAGCAGATTTGGAAGTGGCGCGAACGGCATCGCTAAATGGACATTCGTAAATTTGAGTCAATGTTGCCCTTGTAGTCATTTTTGTGTAGCAACCGCGTGCGTATTTGGAATTGCGTCGTTCCTATCACAAGCGGTACTGAAAGGAGAGGCAGATGGGGAAAAAACAGGCGTAACAACGGCACACGCATCGCACTGGAGCCGAGTAGTTGGATGGCACGTGTATCGTGGACATAAGTCACCGAAAAATGTAGAGCTCATTCAGACTCACTCAATACATATATTTTGTCTTTAGGACTCACTCGGGCTAAGACTAGCCAAAATGTTTCTCAACCGCACTCTTCTCTAACTCAGACTCAGTAATGATTTTCTTAGCCGAACTTACTAGGGCTCGAACTCGTCGAGAGATTACTCACCCGGATTCCCTCAGACTGAAGGCTAGATCCGAATTTGTGTGAGTATCAGTGAGTCGACTCACGAGTTTATTAGCGACCACGTTATCAATGCTCGTTAACACCAGTATCTACAGTAATCGCTGCTCTACTTGGCGCCTTTTGATCTCGTACCTTCAAGCGTTAGATGTGATTGGCTGCAAGTGAGAAAGGTCATTTTTATTGAAAGAGATGACTCGCAAGAGATATCTTTATCAAGAACCTCATGGAAGGAGTTTGCGGCGGAGATGCGTGGCTTCTTACCCCTCCCCCTCTCTTATCTCCCGCTTCTGATCAATAATTACTGAGCTGGCATATGAACGCGCTGCTGCGTTGAATCGTGTTTTAGTAGGCGTGAGCATAAACTTGAGCGGACATAACGCTCATCGCAATGCTTACGTTTTTTTTTGTGATTTGTAGAGGAGCTTTAGCTGACATATCGATGCTTGTCAAATACCTACCGACCGAGTAGGAGGGGGGAAGGGGGTTTCGCTTCGCGCCCGCCATGCGATAGCCTCGGCTAAATTTAAGATACGCCAGTCTGTTACACGTTACAAGTGCGGGGCTCAACACCAGTAGAAATCGGCGCAGAAAAGCACCTCGTTGTCTGTATTTGCGCTATTTTCTGGCTTCTCAGCTAGAAACCTTTCGAAATCGTACGAAGAAACAGCAGACAGAAATTTTTATTGTCAATCTCCCTTCAGCATTGCGCACCCGATGATTTGTTTCATTTCTTCGAAAAACCTCGCATGTGACCCTGTGGTATCAAGAACATTGGATAAGTGTAAGGGAGAGGAACACTTGCTGTCTTCACTGATTCACTTTATTTACACCACCGAGAGCACGGCAATTGGGAGAGTGGCTGCCGCCGAGGGGGGTCCTCAACGTGGTCGGCGAGAATGAGAGGGAGGGTGTAAGGCACGACGCAATTGGTTGAGCATTTTTCAACGACCGATGGAGACGATGATGGCGGGCCTTTGAAGAACATTGACGGAGGTCTATAAGCGAGACCCGCTCACATGTGAGAAGTCTCTTCACACGACAGCGGGGACGGCCCCTGGTTAGGACGGCGAAGAGGCACGTAGTTTAGACCGGTACATAGTCGACCTGCCGTCAGGGCCAGCTTTAGACACGACCACTTCCTTGGAAGTGATCATGTCGGGCATGTTTGTTGCTGCACATAAATAAACAACAATAAAGCACATCGGTCAGAAGAATCATAGAAAACTAAGATGCACATATTCGTGAGTTGGCGGTACGCGAATCGTGTTGAGGCTAATTCACACAGGCCACTTCCACAAGTCCTACGAATAAACTGATCAGTGCTCTAGCACATTGAAGTTGTCAGATGAGCCGACAGAAACGGTTTTATTTGGTCGAGATATCATTGGATGCACAACTTTACAGAGTCACCGGTTTCAATGAACCCTTAGTGTTGTCAATAACGTTTAGTGAAAATGAATGCTTTCTCCTATTTCGCTTTTTTTTTTTCATTTATTTCGTTGTTCACGCATGCAGACTGTTTTATGCTCTGCAAACAACTGCTAGCGTGCTTCGTCATATTGCTCACAGTTTCTTTCCTTGTGCCTATATCACTAGTAATAATAACAGTAATCATAAAACAAAACATGTTATTAGTACAGTGTTGTGCTTCTGATCTTGTTACTTAGGGTTTGCCGCTTTGTATTTCTTAAAAAACTAGATAGGCGAGCGATTCCGCATAAATTCATGGTATGGCAGTACAAACAGAAAGCCACTGGCAACGGAAACCTGAGCGGAATTATTTTGTAGAGGGATTTAGTGCTCTCAATTCGCAATCGAAGGCACCGAGCAAAGTGGCTTCGCAAGGGGCTTGCCTTCCGAAGGAAATAGCTAGTTCACTATAAACCCAATTAATTAATTTATTTACACCTGCATATATCATCAAATGAACCAATGAGCTGTTACGCCAATCCTCATGATCTTGAAGTATAATATTACATGGGCACTAAAGAGGAAAACCATTTTTCACGTATTCGTGAAGTACGATTTCCCCATCTCGAAAACACCATTCTTACTACAAGACGACGCTTGGTAGGAGAAAAAACGCGCGAAAGGAAAATTACGTGGGGGGACACCACCTTGAGATTGCCGCACCAAACACCATGACATCACAGATTTTTAAGACGCCTGCCGGGTCCTCCATAACTTCTAATCAATAAAAATAAATTGTCATGTGTGGGTGCCATAGAGCTAGCATACGAAGTTTAAAAAAAATTCATTGAAGCAATGTCTCGTTATTGGAAAAACGCAGTTCCTGATTTCTGACGTCATGAGTGGAGATTTCGGCACAAAATTTAAAAATGAAAATTTAGCTCTGATTTTCTCCACAACTAGTGAACCTATGATAGTGAAACAGGCGGCAATACAGTAATGAGAGGACAGTTTGTTGATCTAAACCAAGTCTTCGTTTCTCTCCAGTATCCCTTTAAGTACTAGACTTGCCTGCGTCTCCTGTTGTCATGGTGTGTCATGTAGTCCACCTTAAAACGGGCATGCCTCACACTAGCTAACTCCCCCTACTCGCCACCGGTCCTCTAAGAATGAAGAAGGCAACAGATAGCCCAAGAAATAGCCGGCTATGATATTGGAGCACAAATGCGTGCCCTTCTTTACGTGTAATAGGGAACTGAAACCAGGCATGCAAGGAAGAAGAAGATGAACGCTATGGTAAGCTTTATTCCAACGCAGTTCTTCGACGATTGCGCTTAAACCGAGGAGTCGGCGGTGCAGCGAGCGGTGGTCGCGGTAGCGAAGGGAGCAGCGGTAGCTGTAGGTGTTGCAGGTGAACGTACGAGACGAAAGCTGTTGGCGCAGCGGCGAGCGCGCGGCGCGGCAGGCGAGATAGAGAGTGACGTCAGCCAGCGCCTCTTCTATTTTATGAATACCAGCCAGATGCTCCCGATCTAGCCTATCATGCACCCTCTTCTGAAGCCTCTTTCCTGCCCTCACCCAATGCCTAGCCTTCGTGAGTGCTTTGCGGTCATGGAGGAGAGAGCCAATCATGTGAACCTGTGATCTGATCACGGCGGAAACCATATTAAGTAATTTTTTTTGTTCTCTTGCATACGGAATCATGGGGCGGCGTCTTGTATTCCTTGTGTTCATAATGTTGGCCGCCATGCTGACTCTGTAAAAGATACGCTGTTTTCAAACGGCGTGCCACTGTTCGTAGCGCTGTGCGGGCAACTGGAGGGGAAGCGTTGCTGCAACGCAACTGCATGCGCTGACTTTGAGAGCGTTGTGATGCAGTGGCGGACATTGCTTCGAGCCACAACGAAGGAGCCCGAAGGAACAAATCGCAGAGACGAATGATATTGGAGGGGGAAACACGTCTGTTTCATCTGTGTGACACGAGCAGTGCCATCACGACCACTCCCAGAATTATGGCGGACCAACGGCTGCCATTGAGAAGCGCGTTTGCACTGGCATTGAAAGAAATAAAGGAGACGTTGCGGGAGCACGCGCTGCGAGGGGGCGTGAAGACAACGCATACCTGGCGTGACCTACATGGCACCGCTCCACCACCTGTGGCGAGGGGAGCGCGCTGCAGCGCGTTCGTACAGACGCACGGAGGGAGAGCGTCACACAGGTTTGTCAAAACACTGCTTCGCATCTAAAAGAAGACCGACGCTCTTGATTGTCTCGTTTATTCGAACATTCCATAGACGCAGGCGGCGCCATGTAGCCCTGCTCCAAAGCTGCCACACGGTGATAAACTGCGACGCATTTCGGTCTCTTAGTAGTCCTGAACCAACGAACGCGTCTTCACGCTCCGCGACGCTGACGTGCATGCTCGCGACATCACCATCTCGTCCGCAATTTCGACCTTCCGCTGCGCCGCCTATAGTCGCTGGAATGATCGAATCACTTGCCTGGGTGTTTGCACTCCCGCACCATAAATTGTATTCCACGTCGTTCTAGACAACGTCCCTTTTCATTATAGAGATGTCAATAACTGTCCAGTGCTTGGGATGCTTCCCAGTCGCCGTACCTGGCACCTCACCATGAGCGATCGATGTATCGGCCATGTCTCCATCATGCAAGCGTAGCGACACGAAGTGGACGCGTGTGTGCGTCGGCGATCACGCGAGGCTGCTGTGCATCTGCAGTGTCTCAGAAGCTCACTCAGCGATAGTCCATTAAAACACGCATACAAATGCTATCATTAGTCAGCAAATGGGACATAATTGCACCCGCAGTCATATGCAATGATGCGCTTGTGGTGAAATAGTGTGAATTAGAGTGAGACAACCAGTCGTTTGAATATAGCGCCTGTCGTTACCATTACACATCTAAAAAAGAGGACATACCCAGTTAGGTAAATTGCGCTTGCACACATATTCGTACAGAAGAGACACCACATATTTTTTTTTCTTTTTTATTGTTCCGTGCTCTCACGTATTATAACGCCACACATAACGCAATTTTGTCAATTCGAGATCCGTGGTTACACAACGCCAGGAAGGACACTGCTATACGTAATGAAGCTGTCACGCGTTTGTAGTTAGTAAGGATCGTATTAAAGGGCGGGCATCTGGTGTGTGTTTGAAAGGAAGTTGGTATAGGGTGGGGGAAAGCCCTGAAAAGTCTGTATAGCTATTGTTTTCGCACCAGTACCGCAGTTTTTTGTTGTTTTTTATGAGTTCGCAATGTTTTGTTGGTGTAATATAGAGTTCTAAGTTATCAAACTGCGAATACACTAGCCTGATAGCAATTTCGTTGCACTATAAAGGTCTTGCCAGCAGTAAGTGAATGACAACCAGCACAAGAATTGGAACGCGAAAATACGGCATGCTTTTCATGCATCATAATTGGCCACAATTTTCGTGCTCGAGCAAATTTTATTTGTAGCGCTGGCCCGGCAGCCACAGACAATGTATATTAAATTATGAATTAGGTGGCCTTTGGAAGACTTCTAATTATTTTTCCCTATTCAACAACTTATAAGCGTAGAGCCCAGCGTTGACACATTCATTTGAAACATAGTACCGGTACCATCTGTCGACCACCCTTCCGTGGACAGAGGAAAGAGAAGGCGTTACGAGATGGTCGATAAACCAGCACAGCACCCCAAGTGATGAAACTTGCTCGGAAGACAAGGCTTCCGATACAACCGCATGGCGCAGTACTCCTTGAACACTGGTCTCCGAGACTAAATTTGTCCGAGCACTCGAGTATTATTTTTTCGACGACAGGCAGCGCTCGTTATCCAAACCACGGCAATGCAAACGCTTGCGTGAACGATGTGTCTGGTGACCTATTTGCAATCGGATCTAGACAGTTGATTTTTTAAATAAAATGCTCCTGGCATCCTTTCTAAGTGTGAGAAGGCTCGCAGCAAGAGAAGAATGCTCGGGCAACAAATTCGCCCCGCAATCTACATAATGCTTGTTACTCACTTCTCAAGTCGACGTTCATGTCTTCATTCTCGGTAGGATGGCTGCATCGGATTCCGGAATCGAGCAGTAAGGAACAACAAGTCCAATGGACCAAGAAAGACATGTAAAGGAGAAATCGAAATAAGTTAGGGTGTGTGAGTGAATCCTTAAAGCCATACTCGCAATAAGGTATTGTTTGTATCAGCTATGTTCATTGTACAGAATACGCATGACACCGTAGTACCGATTCTAAGGTTATAGCAATGAAACAAGTAAGAAATTTTGTTTTGGTACATCATGTTACTTCAAAGCATCACTCAACATTACGATAGAAATGACGTCCTGATACAAAGTATCAGGTGTAATCCGGACATTATGGCATGCACTTTGGTGAAAACCCGACTGTCGCGATAAAAGCGTAAGCCTGTGCTGCAGCGTTGCCTCTCAACCTTGTAGGAAGCATGTGCACCGGCTATCGAGAGGTCAGCACCGCGTGTTGCGCAGTAGCGGTGTGCAGTGCACCCACATGCGCTCTTCAAAAGGGCCAGCCTGCGCCCTGTCCGGGATTGGCCCTGGGACGAGACAGCAGTGCGGTCACCATGATCTCCGGGCAGCTGCAATCAGCCAGCTCGGCTGATAGCATTCAGTTCTTCGTGGCAGCCCCGCGGCACTTCTCTCTCTGGTAGCGTGCAGGCTGGCCCTTTTGAAGAGCGCAAGTGGCTGCACTGTGCACTTACTACTGCGCAACACGCGACGCTATCTCTTGATAGCCAGTGTGCATGCTTTTCACCAACTGCTGCTCAATGTTTAGGACATAAAAGCTTTTAAATGATCAGAAACAGGTAAACTTAGCTTGTTTCTTGGCTCTATACGAACAGATACTTGGCTTGGTTGAGCATTAGCTTTGCTGCTGGTTCCAGCCTGCATTTCTTTCCAAGCTTTATTCCCCCCTCCCCCCCTTTTTTGTTACCTTTTGGTATCATTAACTAAAATAAACTTTTTTTTAAATACTGATTACAGATAGAAATACGACGACAAAGTATGCCTTTGTATGGCTGAATTTTTTTTTGCGTAAGCATCAAAAATGTAAGAAAATTGACACTTGGGCTACATGGCTGAGATGGATGGTATAGCTTTGGTTTAATTGCACGAAGAAAGACAAAAAATAAACTGCAGTCAATTTTTTCACACATGCGCAGAGATATTCCGCAATGTCGTACAAAACCGCGAAATGTTTTATAAACTGCGCCATGGGCGTCTTTTACATAATTCCGTTCAACTATGGTAAAGTGTACATATATAAGTCAAACGGATAGTTTCTTCGATATTACTCTTAGCACGATTCATCTTTGAAATCTTCATGGGCATCGCATCTCGCGGTTCACTGCGGAGAGTGCGGCTGCTATTCTGACTATTACGACACTGAAGTTGTTATTCGTGGGAAGAATCAACTAACTCGTGAGTCACGGAAGCTTTTCATATACGAGAAAGAGCAGATGAGTGCGTCAGCTAACCTTCGGTGATGTTATATAAAAAGGAGTTTTCATTTCTAGATTATGTTTCCGTATTGCCTTTCTGATCCTGTTAACTGACTGTTCTCGTGTTGTCATGGTAGTCCATTTGCCTTCACACGCATGCGTTGTTTATTTGTTGCGTATGAAATACTCCCTTTTCAATAAATCTTTTAGTTGGGAGTAAGCGCTTGTCTCGCGTTTGTTTGTGTCTTTCTTCGCACGCTTAAACCACAGCTAGCAGAGGTGAACACCAAGGTAATTTGGAAAGAGAACACACAAGCGCCAAGACAAAACAAGCGTGCCTATGTCTGAGAAAAGGGCGTAAATCTGGCGATCACAACACAACAAAAAATAAATTGATTACCTGTCACCTTGATTCCAACCATTCGTAGCTGCGTGTAAAGAAGTTAAAGAAGGAGTGTCAAGTAGAGGAGACGTTGAGTGAATAACACTGCACCATTATTACCTCAAGCCGTGTCCAGAAATTTGGGCAGAAAGTCTCATCCCATAACAATCAAGGTGAATCCAACTCCTTTCCACGTAATTTTAAAACCCATCCAGGTCCCTATCATTTGCTGTTTACTCACCATCCATGACGTATTTCAGACTAACACTGCTTCTCAGGTTCAGTCTAGGATATTTTTATTATTTATTTATTTATTTATTCATTCATTCATTCATACGTGGATTTAACGTCCCAAAACCACCATTAGATTGCTAGAGTTGGTGTGGTGGAGGGCTCCGGAAAGTTCGACCACCTGGGGTTCTTTAACGTGCACCGAAGAATATGTCGGGTATGCTACATGACAATCGGACTGTATAACTCGCCCCATTTTTCACACCCCTGCCAAGCGTTTGCTAGAAGGATGTGGGTACAAAGTGCAGTCTCGACTCGTCACAAGGTTTTTCCTCCCATCTGGTACCACAATTCATAGCCTCGGTGCCCCAGCGCTCACTGGTGGCACTCTGATTGTGGAAGGGGAAGGGTAGTGATTCTTAAATAGGAAAAAATCGAAAGTGAGCCCAGAAACTGTCTGCATCAGAGTGTGACACCACAGCAGTAGATCACAAGGGAATGAGATAAGGAGGAACTAAATGGGATAAGAGAAGTAAGTAAAGATTGCGAGAAAAGTAAATGATTGGGAGCCGGTTAAAGAAGTCCGTGGATAGCGCCCCGATCAGCGATTGGTCGTCGAAGAGAGGACGTCGTGGACGAGACTGCCGTCTGGCAAGACATCCACCGAGAAGGAGTGTCGCATAGAGGAGACGTTGAGTGAATAACACTGCACCATTATTACCTCAAGCCGTGTCCAGAAATTTGGGCAGAAAGTCTCATCCCATAACAATCAAGGTGAATCCAACTCCTTTCCACGTAATTTTAAAACCCATCCAGGTCCCTATCATTTGCTGTTTACTCACCATCCATGACGTATTTCAGACTAACACTGCTTCTCAGGTTCAGTCTAGGATATTTTTATTATTTATTTATTTATTTATTCATTCATTCATTCATACGTGGATTTAACGTCCCAAAACCACCATTAGATTGCTAGAGTCGGTGTGGTGGAGGGCTCCGGAAAGTTCGACCACCTGGGGTTCTTTAACGTGCACCGAAGAATATGTCGGGTATGCTACATGACAATCGGACTGTATAACTCGCCCCATTTTTCACACCCCTGCCAAGCGTTTGCTAGAAGGATGTGGGTACAAAGTGCAGTCTCGACTCGTCACAAGGTTTTTCCTCCCATCTGGTACCACAATTCATAGCCTCGGTGCCCCAGCGCTCACTGGTGGCACTCTGATTGTGGAAGGGGAAGGGTAGTGATTCTTAAATAGGAAAAAATTGAAAGTGAGCCCAGAAACTGTCTGCATCAGAGTGTGACACCACAGCAGTAGATCACAAGGGAATGAGATAAGGAGGAACTAAATGGGATAAGAGAAGTAAGTAAAGATTGCGAGAAAAGTAAATGATTGGGAGCCGGTTAAAGAAGTCCGTGGATAGCGCCCCGATCAGCGATTGGTCGTCGAAGAGAGGACGTCGTGGACGAGACTGCCGTCTGGCAAGACATCCACCGAGCGACTTCACTCTGACTGCGCACGGGACACTATCTGTTCGAATTGATACTGTTCTAGATGTTATTTACAACATGGTAGATTCACCGCCATGCAAATCTCTCCAGCGGTCATCAAAAAACATATCAATTCATCACTATCAATAGCAAAGTAGCGAAAACGATGCCTTCTGAACTGCTGTATAGGGTATCTTACAGGGCTTCTACGCTGCTTTTATCATCTTGGTAAGCAGAGGGAAATGAGACAGCAGAACACTTTTTCTTTCATATGAGGATGTGTGATAGAGTGTGGATGAGCGAATAGAAAAAAGGAAGATACTTTACGAGTTTTACGTACCATTTCTGACAATGAACTTGTGCCGCAGCTTCATGATCATGAGTGCAATGAAGACCACGAGGAACGCTGCCACAGCGCTCAGGACAGCGGCAACGAGGGTGCCGGTGTTGATTTCCAGTCCAGCCTCTGCATTCAAGACAGCCAGTCTTACAGCAATGTCAAGTAGTTCGGCGACTCCATGCGGGCGATTTCGTTCAGCAAGGCAGGTTTCAAAGTAGGCATAAAGTGATTGCTGCAAATTTTCAGTAAATTACCAAAAGTCCTCTACTCTCCTGTCAAGGCTTGATTAATTTGTGGGGTTTAATGTCTCAAAATTACCATATGATTATGAGAGACGCCGTAGTGGAGGTCTCCAGAAATTTCGACTACCTGGGGTTCTTTAACGTGCACCCAAATCTGAACATACGGGCCTACAACATTTCCGCCTCCATCGGAGATGCAGCCGCCGCAGCTGGGATTTGGTCCTGTGACCTGCGGGTCAGCAGCCGAGTGCCCTAGCCACTAGATCACCGCAGCGGACCTCCTGTCAAGGCTTCTAACGCGTACGTGCTAATTTGCTGTGGGAGCACTTCTTGCAAATGCGTAAAGTTAAAATATTTTACATCGTGGTTTACGTACTATTTTCACAATTAGGGGCCTAGCCCTGGTCTATTGGCTCAGTAATTAAGATGTAATGAGCTTCTTCAATAGTTGGCCGAGTCTGGGACTGGTTGTCTCAGTCCCTCATCACTCGGCGCAAAGCTATACGTTGTCCTTGAATAGTTCAGTAAACACAAAAAAAAGGCATTAATGAGTGTCGTACGGATGACCTTTGAAACCTCCGTAGAACTGGCTGAAATCCAGCGTCGTTAGAAAAGTTTCAGCTAATGAGCGCACACAGCAGGTATAGCTTGTTAGAAATAAAGAAAGGAAAAAGGGTCGGCGGGCACGAGAACGAGCCACGGGCACTGGCTCGTTCAGTTGTTCCATCGACTTTTGATGTAGCCACACGATCGGGTCCGGGTCTCCTTTTTCGTTTCTTCACAGAGCTTTGGTAAGCTTGACAAGTGATCTCGTGGATGGTAGCATACGCTTTGTGCGCGTCCTCTTCGACCTCGTAGGAGAACCAATGGAAAATTCTCTCTTCCGCGAAGTCTGTCCAAGATATCGCACCGCTCTGAGGTGCGATATCTTGGACAGACTCCCTTCACGAATTTCCAGTTGCATGCGCTTAGCTTCCAAATTTCGCTAACACTTATACAGACAATAATATCGAGTTTGTTTGTAAAAGTGAAGGTCGAAAACATTTCATATTCAGGTGGACGTTTGAAAGGTTTGTATGTGGTTGTTAGTAATAATTTCGATAAAAACATGGTAATAATAATAGTTGATCAATTCGAGTAAAATACCTCAAATTTAGGAACAATGAGTATAGCAAATGGCTTCATGAGCACAGAGACTAACACTCAAAGTTGTAGGGCCTACAGCCGAAAACAAAGTTGGGGAGAAAGTAGTTCGCTTTCTGAACATCAACAGAACATTGCCGGGTGTGAAAGGTATTGAACTTGCGGTTTTTATTCGGTAGCCTTGTGCATGACAGAGCCCATACATGTCAGGTAAGAGTACCTGACGGTCAATGATTTTTATTCTCAGTCAATGTATTGAACCTGCTTCGTCACCATCCGCAAGCTTTCCTCATCTAACGTAGTTTGGTCTGCCTCTGGGATCGCAGGTGCCTAAAGCCCCTGCCTCCGGGTCGGCCCATATTTAGCAAAGCTATGATGTCATGCGATGACACCATGATGTGACGTCCCAATGACGTCGCGGTTATATCCGAAGTTACGCCATCACATGATAGGGACCATCCGCATTACTCGTGTAGTCCCCGACGCCGATGGTCTATTTTCGCGATTGACTTGGCATGTGAACCTTTCGCCTTGAAAAAGCTGAAATCTCACAGTACTAACTCTAGGATCTAGCGTCACGTTGACTTCGTATCTGGACAAAAACTTTGCCGTAAGTAGTGCAAGGTTTCATGGCTCTATTGAAGCAAACGCTGCTAATAAATGAGACATAATTATAGTGATGCTGGAGCAGGCGTTATTCTAGTACATGGATAACCATAGAATGCAGCGCTGACCATGATATACAAGTGTAATGAGTCTGTTGTGACACGGGTGGTGTGCTCAGAGCACGGTGCGCGCTACGCAATGTGGGTTAAAAAAAGAGCACTTGAGGCGTTAAATTAAGTACTCTTTAACTAAAAGTATATCCTTAACTGCAACACATGGGTATGGCATACCTTTAAGTGCTTTGAGCGAGGAATATTAAAACGAAGTATCTATGGCCGAACAAATTTCAACAGTGACGCGAACGTATCACGCAGTTTACAAAAAAAAAACTTATCGCGTTTACTAAAGGATGAGAGTAAGAGGTGTGCGGGGAAAGCTCTATAGTAAGGTCCTGTAGCAGTCATATCATTTCAAGTCTAACCAAAAAGGCCGACCGAACGGAGCCAATATATACAAAACTTGACCTTGACCTCTCTGAAGCTTGTGTCCTTTCCATTAGGCTTCCCATTTCTAACGGTGATGTTTTCTTCAAGCTGCTCGAATAACTATTGAAGCGCCGATATGTTCTCTGGCAGCTTAAGCGCATTGGAGCAAATAACTATATAATAAATAAATTATATAACCGACCACCGCAACTTATTCATTTTCAGACAGCTCATTCCCTTGCTAAAATTTTCGGATGCTACTAAGCGTCTATTTACACGTTAATTACTTCCTTAATAACCCAAAATGCTCACCGCTAAATTTTGAAGAACGAGCCATAGGCACCACAGTAATCTTGAACACCAACCAAGCTGTCTTGGTCGAGTAATGTGTTCCACATTGACTAAGTAGTCGCTGTTAGAAATCGTTCCCCTTGCTGCATGGAAAATATGAAAATAGCACGTGAAGTTTGATATGGATGAGGGATGATTCGAACATCACGAGATTTATATTAAACTGCGAGACCATGTTAGAATATCTATTAAGCTAACTTATGTACAAGGTATGCTGCACGGCACATCTTTTATCACAATGTGAGTGAGTGAGTGAATGAGTGAGTGAGTGAGTGAATGAGTGAGTAAGTGAGTGAGTGAATGAGTGAGTAAGTGAGTGAGTGTACGTGTGTGTGCGTGTGTGTGTGCGTGTCTTAGGTACCCTACTCTAGGCTAGCTAAGAAAGGGGAATATGATTTGTAGGCGCGCGAAAACAAACATGTAAATTGGTGGCGGATTTGCGTGCTTCACTGACAAATGTCGTCGAAGAACGATAGTATCCTCTCCGGAAGAAAAGAATAAAACGTTTATTTGATGTGCTGCGCGGAGAAAATTGGCGGGTAGGCACTCTGTGAGATATGGACGCCTTCTATCAGTAATTTGAAGAAACGACGTTTTTCTTGAACGCAAATTCACTGGTACGTGGCAGCACTATGTAGCTTTAGCAAAACACAGGAAACACTTTTATTTTAATATAGCATTCAATTGCTAGCTCCGCGCAATAAGCAATGCTGTCTTCATAATTACGTGTCTATGCGTTTAAAAATAAAATAACACACTACCTAATGACCCGTACTGATGTTGCGCCCCAGTATGCGTAATATTTGTTTTGTTTTTTTTTCATTGAAAATGTCAGCACTTATGAATGCAGCAACCAGATTAAGATGGCTGGTCGCTTATAAATGGTTAAATGGGTGACAGACAGAAAAGCAGGTAAGACACACACACGCGTAGACAGGCAGGCAGACCGAAATTTGTGCGTTGAAGAATCCCAACAAAAACTATTTCGTCTTGAGAAGAAGGTATGGAGTGGAAGTAATTCAACGTATCCAGTAGATTTATTTCATGCGGAAATTTTTATAAGGTCTTAACATATTAGTTGTGTGACGACAGTTCGAATCGACATTACAGTATTCAACGAAGGCCTACCTTCACGGCAGACCACTGTTATCCGAAGGCATCTAAAGTGTCGCCGAATGGATGATAAAGGCATAACGGCAAAATGCTTTCATACAAATAAAAAAAAATTAAGTCTACTAAACGGCCATACACAACATTTAGCCATCAAGCGAATAACTTCGAAACGCTGGTGATGTCGTTCTGTAGGTCCAAAACGATAGGTATCGATTTAGAATCAGATGAACGTGTCATTTTTGACCCATAGCTTTGTACGCTGTATCCATTGAGCTGCTGCACATAGTTGCAGAAGTCAATACCTCGTGGATGTCGCTACGACCACTTCGGCACTATCCGAGCGCTGGCCTTTTCATCCTACATTGAACTATACGATCTTCCAGGCAATAAGTTGCAGAGACATACATGGTTCTTGCCTTCCAAGTTATTATTCAAATCACATGCACTGCAGCTAACAACATGACGTTGCTTATATTTCACACATTTGTGGCAAGAAAAAGTAGCCAAACTCGTAGCTTGAGCGAGTTAGTACGACATTATTCACATAGAAACAGCGCCAAAACAGCTACTTCTTTCTCTTGTCCTCCGTTTTTGGCGCGGTTTGTATGTGAAGAAACAGAGGTTTTTGTTGTAGGCTACGAATACGTGAAATAAATGCTCAGTCATACACTTTCTGCATGTCGATGTCGGTCTGCATTGGGAGCGACATGCGGAAGTCGTATATTTTGTCCGTAAAAGGAACGAGCGGTCACTTTTAATAAATATTTCATGTGCAATGGAAAATATATTACATGAACGTATATCTGATAATTCAGTTTATTAGCTTCTGCTGAATATATTTTCAGATGATGCAAAAATGACCACACTTGAAAAAAAAACAATCTGCTCAAGTATTTTCAGCCAATGGCAGAGCGGCTCATTTATTATGCACTTTGTGTTCTCGCCCAGGAGCGATTGAAAAATCAATTTGCAAATTCGAATTGCAAATTGTACAAACGTTGCTTCCTGCTCGAGGTTATTTTGGCCCTCTCATTCTTTCCAAGCCGGACGGCAGACCCCGCAACTCTTATTGCATCAATCAGTCAGGTCTCTTGTCTTGGATACCAGCTTTTTGTTCGATCGAACTGTGTTGCATTACATACAGAACATTCTTTTTTTGTTTGTGTGCTGTAACAAAAGTGGTCAG